TCAGTTCCCCTCCGAAATCGAAATCAAAATAAAAGAGAAAAAACAATTTCGCATAAATTTTCTCCTCTGTCAGAGAGAGAGAGAGTGGGAAAATTGCCTTTAAATTGCTTGAAAATGTTTTCTTAATACATTGCGCAATTTCGTATTGAAATCAGGGCGTGGCAGGAGCACCCACCAAATAAGGAGAACGAAATGCGTAGACTGGTGGGAAAATCAACGCTGAAAAAAAGCAAGGAAAACTAAACGAAATAATGCAGGATGACAAACTAACTTAAAGCGGCCATAAATTTTCTAGCTCAAGGACATGCTTAAGACAAAAAATTCGGAGAAAATGTAGATGAAGCTGGAGCATCAGCAAGGAAAACTGTCAACACGTTTTGGCCATTTCTATCTACGTTTCGTTAGACTCAAACAAAAAACAAACAAACGGCAAATTTAAATGTGGAATTTTTTTGTTAAAAAAATAAGCCATTTTTTGTTGGTGTGTAAGTCGGGGCTTTCTTAAGGAAAAGGGGTGGAATCTTTATTTATGTGCTTAGTTGTGGTGGATGGCTGTAATTTTTAAGTTGGTAGAATTCCAAAACCGGCACAGATTTATGGAGGTATAAGTTACCAAGGTTTAAAACAGCTAACTCTTTGCTTTCTCATTAGGTAGCTTAGCCTCGTTTAAAGCTATTTTTAATTTAATTAATTAAACTACATTTTTTATTTATTGTATAAATCTTTTATAAATTCTTGATTGTAGAAAACTTAAAGTATTCATGTTAAATTTGTTTTGTTTTTTGTGGCTTCCCTCTCCTACTGATATTCTTCTTAGAAACTTTTCTCGTGTAACTCATTTGATATCTCCTGCTGTATATTTTTTCCCTTCTATATATCTTTTTTATCGAAGGGAGAATCTGGTCCCCAACTCCTGCCTTCCCATCCACCCTGTCCTTGTTTTGCGGCCGCCTTCTTCTTGTTTGTTTGTCTTGCGTGTCCTTCGGTGGCGTATGCGTAATATGTTTTTGTTTGCCACAGGCCTCGACGTTGCCGCTCCAGACACACGCCAGACAATACATCGGCTATATACACAGATTCTTATATATATATATATATATTCGTATATACATATTTGCATATATTTTTTATACGTACTATGTGCGTGTTGACCTTGCGAATGGCCAGCGGCTATTGAGTGTCTTCTCAGACGCCTGTGTCCCGCATAACAAAAAGTCTTTTAATTGCTTTTTAATGAGTTGCTGCTGTCATTTTGCACGGACAGAGGCGGTGGGTGTTGCAGGGGCGGTTCAATTTTACAGCAGCAGTTTTAAGGGAGGCGTGGCCTAATGTCATTCGCCCGACATCGGACATTTAAATTATAAAATATGTGCATCGAACAAATATCGAACGAGTCCGTTTAAACTGGGAAAGGCCTTAGTTATTAAGGAAATTCATACTAAAGATAACATAGGGTTATATTACAGTAAAAGAAGGATGAAATGTGGTGAATGCCTAAAGTTATATTTTTGTAAAACAGATTTACTCATAAATTTAAAATTTGGTGCTTTAAAAATAAATTTGTTGTATTTATTTGTATTCTATTCAAAACCAGCGACGTATTTAATTGGAATTTATTATATTACCAAATTTTTTCAGTTCTGTTCTGTATCTTTTGTATACATTTTTATTTATATCGCCGCATTTTTCTTTTGCCCTAATGAAAAAAATTGCAGAGGCAGATGCAGCAGCGCAGCTTTCATTTGATTTGTATTGCTTTTGTTGCAGTTCAGCGGCTGGTAGTTGTTGCTGTTGGCCAGGGCCACTTATGGACGGCAAAAGCTTCTAGAAACTGGGTTCAACAACCGACAAATGCAGCTAAAAGGAAAGCTGGGTGGAAAGTGGGTAAAAATCGGGGAGGTGCAAGGGACGTCACCGCCTGGGACAGCACCCGAAAAAAAAGCCAACTAAATGGAGATAGGGCAAAGAAGCAAATGCAAAAAATTGGCATCAAACAACAGAAACTTACAATTGGCGGAGGGAAAGGCGGGGCGGGGCGGGAGAAATGGGTTGAAAATGGAGGGACGGGGCAGGGGACACACATGCAATGCGCATTAAAATTGTAACTGTAACGTTTCCATCTCTATCTATCTCAGTCTGGTGCTCTGGCCTCAAGGCCCACTACATCCCATTCCCCAAACTGTTTCCCCCCCACATTTTCCACCATTTTCCTCACCCGTTTTCCATTCTTATGCCGTTTTCATCTCTCGCCAAGTTAAGTGCCATTCATGTGACTCCCTCCTCTATCTGCTCCTCCCCTTTTATCTGCCCTGCCTTCTGATCCTAAACTTTTTGTTACTCCTGATTTTGGTCCTTTTGCTTTTTTTTTCGACTGTTTTATTATGGTTTTTGCTCCCCAATGTTCGCTTTGTACTTTTTTGAGCGCTTCATTTATTAAAAATATTTTATTTGCAGAAAAAATGAACTCTGCGTTTCATAACTGTGACATTTGACATTGGTTGAAATATTTAAAGAAAAGCTTTAAGAAGTATGGTCTTGGATATTACATTCCTTATGCTTATAGTATCAGATATTCCTGATAATTTTGCTGTGTTTTATTTGTTAAGAACTTGGTACTACAAACAAATAAATATTTATCTTAATAATATATTTATTCGGTAACCCAATTTCAGAACTCCGATAATAAACCTCAATACCTGATCCTTTCACCGGCTTAAAGTGCTGACCCACTGATTTTATATGTATCTGAATCTCCGACTGTGTCGTATCTGTGTCTGCAGATTTATATTGATTTCGATATCGTTTGTTGTATTTGCCATAAAAATTTCGTTGTCGTTTTATTGTTGTTTGCTTGGGACACGTTATGATTGTTGTAATTGCTGTTGCTACCACCACCCCCACCCAAAAATGGGCCTCAATTCCATTCGATTCCGTTCGATTGGATGCCATTCGAATGGCCGAGAGTCTGGGCCAAATAAATTGCCAACAGTTTCGGTTACATTTTTTCTCCAGCTGGCCTTTTCTCGCTCCTTTGTTTGTCGGTCATTTGTGTGACTTTTGTGGTCGAAAGGGGATTTTAGTGGTTAATGCTCTCTGCTGGAGGTCAATTGTGGTGTTGGGGGAAAGGGTTAAAAGGTCAACTGGCTGTGCTTGTTAAGTGAACCAATTTGTTTCCAGATAAATATCCAAGTATTCTTTTATTATGGACTGCTGCTGAATGAAAAAGGTTTTCACAAATGATAACATTTTCATGGCACCTTTGTTGTGCTCGTAATTGGCCTTAAAAAATTCTTTATATGAAATTTTCTTTATTTTTTGGTTCTTTTAAAGAAGTTTCTCGCTTACTATAGAGAATTTAACTTGGCTTAAAGGCTTTAATGTATTTAAAGCAAATATTTAAAGCTTATTTATGGTATTCTTCCATAATATATAATTGTAATTACACAGCTGACTTAAATCCGCTTTTATACATAAAACATTCCTATCACCCCCCACGAGCCAGTCATTACATTAATTTGGTATCATTCCTTTTTTGTAGTTCGACTAAGTGCTGGCTTCCATAAAAAAACTAAATTAATAAAGAACCAGATAAACCAGAATTTCATGGCAAAGGATTTATTGGGGAAATACTGTAATATTTATGGCTTATATGCTGATGTGTGTTGTCATAAAAAAGGAGAAAACAATGTCTCTGCCACTTACCGAAAAACATGAAAAAATCAAACAAATGAAGACACAAAAACTCCACCACGCCCAGTTGCCTCATAAACCGCAAAATGTGTCGAGGCTCGTCACAATAATGTACACACACACATTGATATATGTACAGCCAACGACATGGCATTAAGTCCACATGTTGTCTGGATGGTTCCCAAAAAATAAAATCAAATTTGTTTTCATATTAAATTGTGTCGCTTGGAAGGCTAAAAACAAAACTGTTTGGCTGTTTCTCGAAATGTTCATGCTTCTAGGCCGCAACGAAAATTTTGAATTTCTCACAGTGTTTCCCATGAAATTTGGAAAATTTTCTGCCGCACATGCGGAACATGCAGCACAAACGCTGGAAAAATAAATTATGCAATTAATTTGCCAGCCCATCCCCAGACTCATTAGCCGAAAAACGAAATGGCCAGACCAATTTCCAAAAATATTGTTTATATTATTTAATTTGTCAGAGGCGTAGTCGTGTGAAAATGTAATTTCAAAAGGCAGGAAAATATTTTGTGATCCAATCTGAACATTTTTAATATATATACTTAACTCCAAATCATTGAAAAATCATTAAATTATTGAATATAGATATTTTGCTCTTAGTCATTAATTGTTTAAAAAGGAACAAATATACAAATTAAATATCAACATATGGGATGGTTAACACCCCCTTTTTCACAGACTGCTATTTATTTTGCCCGTTGAAATGCATTTTAAATTTGCCACTTAAAATGTTTTTGTTTTGGTTATTTACGATTTTGGCTTTGCAGTTCACAGAAATAATTATTTGTTAAACCAAATGCTTTTAAATAAAATGCTATGCGAAGTTTTAAGCAAAAAACAAATCACTAAATAATTAAAGGCTTGTGGTATTTCTTCATAGAGTATTTTTTCAAAAAGAAAACCTTTTTCATAAACTACTTTAGGAAAAAATATTTTTAATAGATATCGTTTGAAGAGTATTCTCCAATCCATCGTGGGCCATCTCCCTTTGTATACAATTATATTTGCGGTTTTCCGTCTCTGTTTGCATTTTATGTAAAGCAAGCGTCATATGAACGTGATGCCAAAATGAGCAATAATATAAATGGTACAATTATAAATATGGAAACAATATGCATACATTACCCAGCGATGTCTATGAATTATTAATAGTGTTTCTTTCTCACTTTAAACCCTTTAAATCATGTAAACATTTTTACAACATTACCATTTTTTCATCTACATGATTTGATTGAATATTTTTATAAAATAAACTAACCTTTTCTTTTCTCTTATTTTCATTCCAGGTAAGCAACAATCAAAGATGATAACGTACACGCATTGTTTCAACTTGAAGTGTAAGTGCAAGTGACAAATTCCATTTCAAATTCAATTAAATACCAAGAGGAGTTTGTTTGTGTGCAACTGACCGTGCAACAAGGTCAGACGTAAAAGTTTCAGTTTTATTTCCTCGTCTCCAGCTTCTTCGTTTTTTCGCCTTTGCCAGTTATGCAATCCTTGAGAGGATTTCTCCCTCACGCCCGGCAGGAAGTCCATCTCTTTGGGGTCTTGGCAAGCATTCCCATGTCCTGCATTGGCCACGCCCACACCACACTTTCCGCCCCCATATGCCCCCACCCCACGCTTCCCCTTTTTTTTGCCTTTTTATGGCCACGTGCGAAAATGCGGCAAAAGTTTTACGAGGTCAGGGTGAAGATGCTTGCTCCTCCAAGTTGAAGATACTGCCGATGATGATGTCACTTCAGTAAAATAATTTGATACAATAAAATTGAGTGGAATGAGTGCAAAGGAATATGGCAAAGAAATTTGCATGCACTGTGGGAAAATGGCACTAAGAAATTTTAGAATTTATGTCTAAATATTTCTAAGGTGCCTTTTTCCAGTGAACAAATTTTCTAAAATGTTTGATTGGGATTAATTTCAGTTTTTGAATTTACTGAAGCAGGTTTTTAAAAATCTTAGTTTGTCGTTTTACCTAGGAATAATTTATCTGAAATGCAAACTTAGTAATTTCTTACAGTAATAGCCAAACTTTTCTCGAAACTGTAACTTCTTACTTTTTCATTTAATTTAATTCAGCAAACTGCGAACTGACAAACGTCATTCGAGTAGTTGGCACTTGTTGCCGCCTTGAAAGAAAATTTCTCTTCAAATCGCAAACCAAAAAAAAGGCCAAGATCCCAGACGACGTCAACAACTTTGGCAGGTCCACGCCCTAACCATTTGCACAAACGCCTCAAGTCGCATGCAAAGTGCAGACCTCGGGGATTGTCGGGTCTGTCGGAGGTTCAGGCTGTCTCCATCCAAATGGAGCTATATCTGGAGTGCTCAGTTGGAGCGGAATCCAAGACTTCAAGACTCACATGTCTTCTGGCCACGCTCAATTCAATTCAATTAAAAGCCGGCACACGCCGCACCCAAAAGCGAGCCAGCAAGCAAAAAACCCAGAGGGTAGACATTTCGATTAGTTAGGATGTTAAATAAAGTGACAACTTGAATGCTCTACGAAAACTTAAATGGAAAAACTGAAAAAACATCAATATGATTGGCAGAGTTGTCATTCGGCAAGAAATTTTTTTAGAAAAAGTGCTCGTAATAGATTTTCTTCGACTACTTTAAAGTGCATTTAAAAGAGTCCAAAAATTTATTTATTTATGAAGTAAACTTAACTGCTTATAAATTATTGATACAAATTGCAATTGCTACATTCTGCATCATTTGTAAGGGCTAAAAATTTCGATGGCAATCTATATTTTCCTGCACCGCTGATTCGTGTCAGCGAACCCTGAAAATCTGATTAAAACCCAACTGAAATTCAGCGAATCGTTATGCGATATCTTTTTCATGTTGTGTTTCTCCCCTTCGGATTTTTTTTAGTTTTCATTTTTTTCCGAGTAAATTTCAATTGATATTTGTTATTATTTTTTTCTGTTTGGTCTGATTTCTGTTATTTGCTGCTTTTCGCATTGTTGGGGGGCGGTAGGCCGCCGAACTCTTTGGCATTTTTATTGGGTGTGTGTGTGTGTTTGACTCGCTTATTTGGGGCGTAAGAGTAGGAGTGGTGGAGCGCAGCACTTGCCACAAATTATCCAATGGTCGAGCCAGGTTGCCATTCACTTTTCCACATTAACTTCAAGTTTTTGCCCCCCAGTGGAGCAGTGGTGGGAAAAACGTGGAAAAGCGAGATACTGGAATGGCGGTCACTTGAGGTTTTCCCTACTCCTCCATGGCTTGTTCACTTTTCTCCTGCTCTTTTTTTGTCTAGCACTCTCTTGCGATTTGCCTTTGATGAGTCCCAAAATGCCGCTGCATAAGCGTGCAAAAAAGAGGGGAAAATTCCCTTCACATTTCTGTATTCACCCGCGCCTTTCGCGCCCACTTTCTCTTTCGGCTTGTGTTCTATTTGCTCAACTAAGCATCAATTAACGCTAATTATGAATTTTTATTTTTAAGTTGACTTTCAATTGTAGTCGAAACAAACAAAAGGTGAAAAGGTGCAAGCCTTTGAGAAAACTACATTATATTTGCTAAACATACATCTATTGAGACTTAGACTTTTGATATTTTAATCTGTATGTTAAAAGTTAGTTAAAGGTATTAATCCAATAAATGCTTTAAACCCTTTCTAAACATTCAATAAGCTTTGCTTTAATTACTTTTGGTTGCTTCTTATGAAATATTCAATGGATTTGCCAATTACATTTTCCAGCTTAATTAAATGCACTTCATAGCCCTTTGAGCAGCTTCAGGTGAATAGTTACTTAGCCAAACACCATGCTAATAGCTTTGCATATTAAATGAGCCTCCCAGCTTAACTATGATATATGTAAATTTATCGAATCGAATTTCCTTGGGGAATTCATGGCCCAAGGCCACTTTAAGCTGATAAGTTTTCCCCCGTGGCTTTCTGTTTGTCCACCTAATTTCGTATCAATAAATTGAAATTGCAGAGAAAATGCCACGTCGACACTGTATTGTTTGTTTGCCTCCCAGTTTGCTTGTGGCTGCGTTTTTGTATATTTAGCGGCATCTGCAGACAAGTGCCGTATCTTCAAGATGCAAATTAAAAGCAGAGCGGCAGATGCGCCAAATATAATTCACTTAAATGCTGTTCTGCCCCTCGGCGAGTGACTCACATCCTCAATTTACGTTCGTTTCAATGTTTACTCTGCTTTCGTTTGTTTTTTCCTACTCACTCTGATATTGCCCCTTCTTCATTCACATATAGGTGAATCCGCGAGGGGAAACTGGGTCTATCTTATCTCCAAATATATGAATACAATGCATAAAACTTACCATGAAAACTGTTCTGAAAAGAAGCCTCTGTGGAATTGTTAAGAACAGTCATATCATAAATCAAACTCGATGATTCATCCAATCGGAGCTTTTGATTTCTAAGGCAAATCCCAACTTAGTATGTCCGGTTTTGGGGCTAATCAATTTTGAACTGGTTCCCCGAATTTATTTGAAAGAAGTCTTCTAAGCGAAAAGACAACGGCATATATTCCAAGAAGAAAACATTCCATTCCATGAGTCATATATAAATTTAAATAAAAAGAAATGTTTGGCAAACCGGGGCGAAATTCGTTATAAATGACTTTATTATATGGAAGTAAACTTTTAATTCAGCATGATAAGTCCACTTTATAAGCTTAACTAATATGGCTAAATTAATTTTGGCTTTCTTTTAAGACGTTTAAAAGGTTGTTGACTATTTTAAATCTTGTAGAATATTAAGAAGAATCCAAGAAAGAATAAAACTTACAAACAAACTGCTCTTATAGACGACCTCTACAATACAATTTTTATTTCATCAATTATTTACTAACATAATATAATCCCTCGTATCTCTCACCTATTCAAAAAATCTTTTATTGTATGGACGACTCATCTTTATCTTTCGGTTAGTGACTCACCTGGCTGGACCAACTTTTACTTTTGACTGAGTTTATATTTTGTTGACCAACTTAAGTTTCATAATTAAATTCAAGTTCAAAGACCTGCTAAAGTTTGCTGCCATATATTCATGTCAACATGTCTGAGGCAGACTTTTCCTTTTCCCCCTTTCTTTTTTTCGTTGTGTTTTCATTTTTTGGTTTTGGCTTGGTTTACCTCGCCCTGCTAATGAAATAATTAAAAAAATAGTTTTACTGCCGCTGGCAGGCGGTTAAAAAGACCAAAAAACAAAAACCATAAAAGTGTCAACTGCAGTTGGTGTAAAAAACACAGAGAAAAACATTGCTTAAAAAAATCAAAAAGAAGAAAAAACGGTTTGCAGATCTGAAATTTTGCGAAATTTCGTAGTCGAAGCGAAAAGAATGTCAGTGTTTGCCTGCATGCGAAAGTTAAGTGGGGAGGCGGTCGGTTACGGGGGCGTGGCAGTCACGGCATGCGAAATGTATCTATTAGATACACGCCTGCGAAATGCGGTTAACTGCATTGGCAGCCGACGCAGTTTTGCCATTTACCGTTAGCTACAGTTGCATTTACAACCTGCACTTGTATCTGTATCTCAAGCCGTGCTTTATATCTATATCTCAAGTCTCTGGCTGCATCTGTATCTGTGAAGTAGAAGCCAGTAGAAGCTAAAGCTAAAGCTGAAGTATTTGGGTCACTCGTTGCCGCTTGGCTGCCACTCGAAGTCGTCTAATGCCTCCTCCAATGGCCATGGCGGGTTTTTCAACTTCATCTTGGCCACTTTTTTTCTAGTTTCCAGTACTTTTTGGCTGATGCAAAGAGAGGACAGTATTTCGCATTCAGTTTGTTACGCTTTTTGGTCAGGGTATTATTTCGTTTTAGCCCAGTCCGTTAAAGTTAGATGATTAAAGTACTTTTCTGAATTGGATAGTTGTTGCAGAAGAGATTGCTATGCAAAAGAGAACTTTTATTCTGGGCTTAAATGAAATATGCAATTTACTTTGAAAATAATATAATAAAAAATAGTTTAAAAGGAATTCAAAATGAAACTTTTTAAGGAAAACATAAAATAAATTTAGCTTTTACCAATATTTATTTAGGTATCTGAAATTGTTTAACTGCTTATTACCTAAAACACATATTGGCTATAGCAAATAAAAGTCGAAGTATTTTTTTGGGTGAACGTATCCAAAATTTGTTGCATGTTGCGGGCTGTGCGATAAGCAAACTCGCGTATTCGTCGTGTGTGTGGGTTAATTTGAAAGTTTCAACTGTCACAAATGTTATAATTGATTCGGCAGCCACTCGCGAGCTGTGCATCTGCGAGTGTCTGTACATATGTACCTATATCATATATGTATATCTGTGTGTCTTTGTCGAGCGCGTATCTCACGGATGCAGTTCAAATTTTCGTTATGTTTCGTGTTTTGTGAGCATTTGGCTGTCATGTTGCAATGT